AGATCGTGAGCGGTGGGGAAGTTCGAGCGAGACGCCCTCCCTAGCGACACGTCCAGTGGTGTGACAGGAAGGAGCTTTCTACAGGGAAAAGGGACGGAGGAGGAGGGGTCGCTTTCAGGGTCCCCGCCCTGGGCCACCCGTTGATATTGGTTCCTTCTGCCAGGAGAGCGTGTTGATGGATCCGAGCATGGTGTGGAAGTTGCCGTTCACCACTCCCGCGACGGCCCGCCTGGCAACCGACAAATTCTCAGCGTCTGTGCATTGTTGCGCAGATTCGCATGCGAATGCTTGACAACTGTTTCTTGGCCTGTGTATCGCGCTTAGACTTCTAGCACGTCGTGTATGCCGTTGCGCCCGCTCAGTTGCAGACCGCAACAGGAGCGGCGCTTCGTTCGAAGAGTTAGATACGAGAGCGGGACAAGATGAGCGAAGGTGGAGTACGCACAATACTGGGAAGGCCTGGCGGCCAGTGCCGCCGACCATGAAGACGACGACGGCGGCGGCGGCGGCGACGACGACGACCCTGACGCGCTGGAGCCCTTCTTGGGGCTCTGTCGGGGAGCCCATTGTGCTCCGTCGGGGGGCCTCTTGGGGGACTTTTTGGGGAGCTCCGTGTCCACTTGGAGCCGCCTCGGAGCGGATCTGAGGCCTCTTGGAGGCACGCGTGGAAATATAGCACCCCGCAACAGCAGACAAGAGTGAGGAGGGTGCCTCCGGGGGGGAGGGAGAGGGTCTGGTGGGGGGAAGGAGGGGGAGGGTGTGTGAATTGGAAGGGAATTGTTCTTCGTCCCACAGGGGGGGCGGGGGGGGGCGGGGTCCTACACCTCCCTGGACCCCCGGGACACCACCCCAGGATCCCCCCGCTACCCTCCCGGACCCCCCCCCAAGACCCTCCCAGGGAGCCCCCCAGGGACCCCACCAGGTCTCCCCCACCTGGACACCCTTGGCGACCCCCCCCAGCGAAGGAAGGGATCAAAGGGAAGCGGCTTCCCTTCGAATGAATTGCGACGTTGTGTGATCTCCGTCTGGCTGGATTATATGATGAGGAGGAGGAGGGCGCAGGGAAAAGGGGGGAGCGGCGACGGCGACGACGACGAGTTAAACGGAAAAACGTTTCACACAGGCCGACATGTTCGGCGGATTCTACACAATGGCGAAACATTTGCGAACAGAAACATCTGCGGACCAAGGACGGACCGAGAGCTTGTGCGCTCGAGGACGTTCTTGATGTTGTGGCGCATGGAGAAAGATGCGGCTCACAAAACTGTTTGGAGCTCGCACCTTTCGTGAAGGCTGTTAGAAGTACCGAATAGCACGAACGAGCCAATGGCGCACGAGCCTCAGCAGGGGAAGTCTTCCCCTTGAAAGATTGTCGCCCAGATAGTTTCTGCGAGCCGCTCAGCGCTATTACTATTTCCACGAATCGTACTACTGCTGCTGCTACTGTTATGACTGCTACTGTTACTATTTCGACTGATGCTACTATTACTTATGGTTCTACTTCGGTTATCATTAGTTTTTTGGTTTGTTTGTTTGTTTTCCCCCCACCCCACTACTACGACTATGACGACTACTACTTCTACTGAACCTGTTACTACTGCGACTATTAATACAATTACTACTACATTCCCGGCCACTACTATCTACGACCTACGACCTCCTACTTACTACGGGGTACGTACTACTTAGTTCTTGGTCTGTACCACCACCACTCCTACTGCTACTAGTAGTAGTAGTAATCGTCGTAGTAGTAGTAGTAGTAGTAGTAGTAGTAGTAGTAGTAGTAGTTGTAGTAGTAGAGGTACTAGTAGTAGTAGTAGTAGTAGTAGTAGTACTACTACTACTACTACTACTACTACTACGACTACTACTGCGACTCTCACTGCTACTAGTAATAGTAGTAGTAGTAGTAGTAGTAGTAGTAGTAGCTAAGTAGTCGTTAGTAGTAGTAGTAGTAGTAGTAGTAGTAGTAGTAGTAGTAGTAGTAGTAGTTAGTAGTAGTTACTAATATTAGTTTCTAGTTACTAATATTACTACTAGTACTACCACGATACTACTACTGCTATTACTGCTGCTACGACTACTACTTTGCTACTTACTACACTACTACTCCTACTACTACTACTTACTACCGACGGCTTATACTACTACTGCGTTTACTGTGCTCTACTACTTATGACTACTACCACTACTACTACTACTACTACTACTACCACTACTACTACTACTACTACTACTACTACTACTACTACTACTACTACTACTACTACTACTACTACCAGTACTACTACTACTACTACTACTACTACTACTGCTGCTGCTGCTGCTGCTGCTGCTGCTGCTACTACTACTACTACTACGACTACTGCTAATATTAGTACTACTACGACGACGAGGACAACGATTATTACTACTAGTGCTACTACTACGAGTCACTCCTCATTCGTTCCTACCCACGACTGACTACCTACTACGTCCTACCTACTCCTTAGTATTTGTTCTTACTGCTATGACCCCTTCGTGATTCTGCGGAATCCCTGAGGGACTCTTGAGGGATCCTTAGGAATCCTTTTGGGAATCCTTAGGAATCCTGAGGACTCCTTAGGAGTCCCTAGGAATCTCTTATGACAATCTTATCGTCTTTAGGGATCTCCCAGGAATCCGTAGGAATCACGAAGGAGTTTGTAGGAATCTCATAGGAATCCGTAGAAATCCGACTTTAGGGATCTCCCAGGAATCCCAGGATCTTGAAGCATCCTTAGGCATCCCTCTGAATCCTGAGGGATCCTTGGGGTTTCTTCGGGAACCATCGGAATCCTTAAGCATCTTTAGGTATCCCTGGAGATCCCTAGGGGCACCTCGGAATCCCCAGGGACCAATAGGAAGGATTCCTGAGGAATCTTCAGCCCCCCCCCATAGGAATCCATGGGGGAAGCCATAGGAAACCCGAGGGATCTTGAGGACTCCCGAGGAATCCTTCGGGATCCTCATGGTCAATCGGAATTCAGAATCCTCAGGGGTCTTGGTGAATCCATAGGAATGCTTGTAGACATGCTGGGGAATCCCACGGTATCCTTATCACTGCGGCTACTGTTACTATCATTCGTTTTCTTATTATTACTAGCACTACTACGACGACGACTACTACTACTACTACTACGACTACTACTACGAGTACTACTACTAGTACTACGACTACGACTACTACTACTACTACTTCTACTTCTACGACTACGACTACGACTACTACTACTACTACTACTACTACTACTACTCCTGCTACTACTACTACTACTACTACTACTACTACTACTACTTCTGAGACTACTACTACTACTACTACTACTACTACTACTACCGCTACTCCTACTCCTACTACTACTAGTACTACTATTACTACTACTACTACTACTACGGCTTCTAGGACTATTAGTATTACTGTTACGATTGCTACTGCTGCTACTACTACTACTACTACTCGCACTGGTAGTACTACAACTGTTACTGCTCCTATCATTAGTACTACTGTCACGATGACTACGACTACGAGTACTACTACGAGTACGACGACTGCTACTAGTACTACTACTTCTATTAAGTCTACGAATACTACTACGCCTACGCCTACGACGACTACTACTACTACTACTACGGCTACTACTACTACTACTGTTGCGGGTGTTACTACTGTTACTACTACTACTATCACTAGTACTCTTGCTAGGACTATTGCTACTTCTTCTTCTATTACTACTACTGCTACTACTACTACTCGGGCTACGACTGCGACTGCTACTACGATTTCAAATATTACTACTAATGCTAATACTGTTACTACTGTTACTACTACTACTACTACTACTACTACTACTACTACTACTAGTACTACTACTACTACTACGACTACTACGTCTACTACGAATACTACGATTACTACGACTATTACGAGTATTACGGCGACTCCTTCTACTACGACGACCGCGATTCCTATTTACATTTTTCTTTTACTACTACTACTACTATTATTACGACTATTGCGATTACTCTAGTACTACTACTACTACTACTACTACTACCACTACTACTACTACTACAGTTACTACTACGACTACGACTACGACTACTGCGACTGCTACAAGGACCACTCCTATTAACCATAATATTACTAGTAGTAGTAGTACTACTGCTACTACTACAAATATTACTACGACTACTACGGCTACTACGATTACTACGACTACTACGACTACTACGACTACTACGACTACTACGACTACTACGACGACTACTACTACTTCTCCTATTACTACTAGTACGACTACTATTGGTTATAGGAAATATGCGACTACTACGACGAGGATTAGTACTACTACGACGACGACGATTTCCATTACTACGGCTACTGTTGCTACTACTACTACTACTACTACTACTACTACTACTACTACGACTACTACTACTACTACTACTAGTACTACTACGAATACTAGTACTACTACTAATAATAGTACTATTACTACTAGTGCTACTACTATTGCCACTGCTACTGCTACTACTACTACTACTACTACTACTACTACTATTCTACTACTACTACTACTATTACTACTACTACTACTACTACTACTACTACTACTAGTAGTATTACCTCTACTGTTTTGTACTACTACTACTACGACTACTTCGACTACAACTACTACTACTACTACTACTACTACTACTACTACTACTACTACTACTACTACTACTACGACTACACTACGACTACACTACGACTACACTACTACTACTACTACTACTACTACTACTACTACTAATTACTAACACTACCACTACTACTACTACTACTACTACTACTACTACTACTACTACGACTACTAATACTCTACTACTTACTACCTACTACTACTTACGACGACGACGACGACGACGACGACGACGACGACGACACGACGACGACGACGACGGACGACGACGACGACGACGACGACGACGACGACGACGACGACGACGACGACGACGACGACGACGACGACGACGACGACGACGACGACGACGACGACGACGACGACGACGACTACTACTACTACTACTACTACTACTACTACTACTACTACTACTAGTACTACTAGTACTAGTACTAGTACTAGTGCTACTACTACTACATCTGCTTCTGCTTTTAGTAGTAGCACCATCCAGTAACAGACGGGCGAGTTCCCAACCGCTAAAGCTCACGCGTGAACTCGCTCCTCTGAGGCTTCCAGTGAGGCTTCATATGGCAATAAACAGCAATGGTCTCTTTTATGTGCTTTCTTTATGAGCTTCCTCCTCGTCTGGGATCTGACCGTACCTGGGGCTTTGAACGGTTGGGATCTCACCCGTCTGGTTGTGGTCTCACCCGGCCAGTTGTGATCTCGACCCATCGCCTTGATGCACTCCCCCCCCTGCCCCTCCCAGGCTTTTTCTCCATCCCCCACCCTGGGCTTCCCCCCCATCCTCCACCTCTGGCTGATCGCGGTCCCGATGCTCTGTAAATTGGTGCCGGCGCAACTCCGCAGCGCGCGGCATCAGATCCCCGGGAGCTGCCCCTATCTAGTGCCCCCCCCTCAATTAATTTGCCGCTCGTCTGGCTGGTACGGGGTCTTCGGGTTGCCTCTCGTTCTTCCCGGTGCTGTTCAAGTTCAGGGGCGGCCAGAGCATACTAATATTACATTGTGATGGCGTGCACTCCGCCCTCCTCTTTCGACCGTGGGGCCCGTCTGGGTTCGGTGCCCCCCTGGCAAAACTAGCTTGCCCCTTCTCTCGTGGCCAGCCGATCCGGTCCTCTTCTTCAGTTCCGCCTCCTCTTCCTCCCCCTCCTCCTCCTCCTCCTCCTCCTCCTCCTCCTCCTCCTCCTCCTCCTCCCCCTCCTCCTCCTCCTCCTCCTCCACCCCTCATTCTCTCCCCTGCTCTCCTCTTCTCCCCCTTCCGTCCCTCCCTACTTCTCTCCTCTCATCCCTTCCTTCCCTCTCTCTCGCCCTCTCTCCCTCCCTCCCTCCCTCCCCTTTCCTCCCTCCCTCCCCCTCCCGCCGCCTGGCAGGCGAACCGTGTGCCCCCGCGCATTGCCCCGCCGACCCGCTTCCGCGGCCTTCCTTCGGGGAGGCGGGACGGGCCGCCGCGGCCGCCGCGGCGGCGGAGGAGCCGGCGTCGTCGCCGTCGTCGTTTTAGTCGTCGTTTCGGTCGTCGTTTCAGGAGGAGGATGGCATTGAGGAGGAGGAGGAGAAGGAGGAGGAGGAGGAGGAGGAAGAGGAGGAGGAGGAGGGTAGTGAGGAGGAGGTGGAGGAGGATAGGGAGGAGAAATAATAGGATACATGATAATGAGAGGAGGTGGAGGAGGAAGAGGAGGAGGAGGAGGAGGAGGAGGAGGAGGAGGAGGAAGAGGAGAAGGAGGAGGAGGAGGAAGTGGAGGAGGAGGAGGAGGAGGAAGAAGAGGAGCAGGAGGAGGAAGAAGAAGAGGAGGAGGACGAGGAGGAGGAGGGTAGTGAGGAGGATGAGGAGGCCCCCAGTGTTGCCAACGTTCCTCTTGTTTTTCGAGGTTGCCAGGGTTGCCCAGTGTTGCCTGGGCGGCCCCCGGCGTTGCTCGGGGTTGCCCAGGGTTGCCCGTGCAGTGTCAATGCCATGCGATGACAAGCCACGCCAAGCAATGTCACGCATTGCGGAGCGATGCGCGGTAATGCCGAGCAATGCCGACCAGTGCCAAGCAACGCCGAGTATTGCCAAGCACCGCCACGCAACGCCTGGCAGTGCCACGCAACGCCAAGAACTCCCAAGCAATGCCAAGCAATGCCAAGCAACGTCAAGCAATGCTAAGCAACGCCGCCAGGCAATGCCAAGCATTGCAAATCAATGCGAAGCAATGCCAAGCAATGCCATTCAATGCCAAGCAATCTAAGGCAATGCCAATCAACGCCAACAAATTACTTGCAGTGCACTGCATTCCATCGCTCAGAGCTGTTTTGACTTGCCTTGGAAGAGAGGAGCCCCTCATTGGGGTTGCGACGGCTCCTGTTGTCAAGAAGGCCTTCAGGCTCAAGCTTGAGGCTTCGTGGCGTTTTCACTGGGGCGGGTTCTCCGGGGGCGTGCGGCCCGGCGAGCGTGCGGGCGCGAGTGCAGCCGAGGCGGGCGAGCGGGCGGGCGGGCGGGTCGGCCGGCGCGCGGGCGAGCGGACGGGCAGGCGCGCGCGCGCGCTGCCGGGCAGGCGGGCGGGCGCGGGGGCGAGCGGGCGGGCGGGCGAGGCGGGCGAGCGGGGCGGGCGGGTGGGCGGGCGGGCGAAGCAGGCGAGCGGGCAGGCGGGCGGGCGGGCGGGCGTCATGCCTGCGTGAAGTCGGGTAAGTTTGTCCGCCATTGAGGTGCCATGGGGCGAATCGAGCAGAGTTCCGCTGGCTTCCGCCCCCTACTCGGGCCGCGTGGCGAGTGGGGAAGGGTGGTATGTTTTCCGCCCCCTGCGCTGCCATGTGGCACATCAAGTCCGCCTCCCTGCGATGCCAGGTGCTGATCATAATTGGAATGCAATTTGTTCCGCCCCCGTCTGCGTTGCATTCGGCGACTCGCGAAAATGCACTCGGTGCGACCTCAATTGTTGACGCTTCGCGTATCCCCACCAGCTGAAGCTGCGACGGTTCGCTGGCGCTGTCAGAGACCCTTCTCCCTGCTGGACGACGTCAGCTCTTTTGCCTACGGTCTCGCTCATACCCGACAGACACCCTGGGCTCTCTGACACCCCTCATGCACGGAGACTGATCCCCACTACCTCGTGATCGTCGGACCGACACGGTCCTCGACTGGGGATGTGCGTCGCGTCATTTTGGCAGCGTCCTCCCTGCTTCCTGGGTGGCTGTTTCCCTTCAGACTCCCTGGGCAGCAGCTTGCACCACCGCCTGATCCGCGGCCCCCGCGCGCGCCCGGCTAATTCGTCACGGCCGCAGCCCGACCGTGACCCGCCGCCGCTGGCGCTTCCGCCTGCGGCTGTAAAAAAAAAGTATCCCCACCAGCCCATCCAGAAACGATGCCCAGGGGAGTTGAGGTGATCAGGGAAGTCGGGGAGCATGCAGAATAACAAAGGGCGGGGGAAGCTGTCACGTACCCCAAGAGGGGGAGGATGGAGAAGGAATCCTCGTCGGAGGGGGAGGGGGAGGAGGAGGAGGAGGAGGAGGAGGAGAATGAGGAGGAGGATGTGGAGTAGGGAGAGGACGAGGAGGACGAGAAGGAGGAGAAGGAGCAGAGGGAGGAGAAGGAGGAGAAGGAGGAGGAGGAGGAGGAGGAGGAAGAGGGGGATGATAAATTGAAGAGGACGGCGAACCGAAGAGCCAGAAGCGTCTTAAATGCATTTCGGAGATCCTCTTGAGGCTTCTTGGGGGTCTCTTGGGAGCCTCTTGGAGGCCTCTTGGGCGCCTCTTGGGGCCGTCTGGGCGCCTCTTGGGGCGCTCTTGGGGCGCTCTTGGGGGCTGTAGGGGCGCTCTTGGGGCCATCTAGGAGGAGATCGATCAACGAAGGGGGGTTCCCTAATTAGCCTCCCCCCTCAGGAGCTCCAGACATCGCCTCTTGGGGCGCTCTTGGGGCGCTCTTGGAGCGCTCTTGGAGCGCTCTTGGGCGCTCTTGGGGCCGTCTTGGGGCTCTCTTGGGCCTCTTGTGGGGCCCTCCTGGGCCATCTTGGAGCCATCTTGAGGCCTTGGATGGCCATCGGAAGCGAAACGGGGAGAAAGCAAAAAACATTGATTTTCTTCAGGTTATGGGAGGATTTTGGGCCTCGTCGGGGCCTCCTTGGGGAGCTCTTTGGCCACTTGGAGCCGTCTTGGGGCCGTCTTTGGGCCTCTTGGAACATCTTGGGAGCCATCTTAAGCGATCTTGCGCTATCTTGAGCCATCTTGGAGGTTATCTTGGGCTCGCTGAGGCGCTCTTGGAGCCATCTTGGGGCCAAAAGAGCCGTCCGACCGCTCGCGAAACCCTCCGTCCAGGTCCAGGGGAGGGGGTAGGGGGAGGGGTAAACCCCTCCCCAAGCGGGAAGAGGGAGGGGTGGAAGAGGATCTGCTCTAGACCACCCACGCCCAGAGGGCTGGTGGGATTCGGGGAAAACTTCGTGTTGCATCGGCGCATTGTTTGGCATTGCTCGGCCTTGCTTGTCATTGCTTGGCGTTTGCGTGGCATTGCGTTGACATTGCGTGACGTTGCTTGGAGTTGCTTTTCGTTGTTTGGCGTTGCTTGGCATTGCTTGGCTTGGCGTTGTTTGGTGTTCCTTGGCGTTGCTTGGCGTTGCTTGGCGCAGCATGGCGTTGCTTGGCATTACTTGGAAAGAAGGTGGCCAGCTTCACATTGCTTGGAAGGGATGAGTAGACAAGTATTGGTTTCGCCCCTTGTGTTGCCATGTGGCAAGTCGCCAGTACTTCTAGTTGTTCGTCCCCGTGCCCCCACTGCGTTACCATGCTACGATCGGAGTAGAACGGTATGTTTATCCACCCTCGTGTGAAGCCATTTGACGAGTCGAGTCTGGTAGTATTTTTGCCAGCTCCCGTGCGGCGCCTTTTGACGAGGAGAGCGGAACTTCCACTTTTGTCGCTCATCCGTGTTGGGCGAGCGTGCGTGCGTGCGTATCGTAGAGAAATATGTTACCCGCCTCCGCTGCGTCGCCACGTGACGAATCGAGTTGAATTCTATGTGCTTTTGCCCATTGCATTGCCGCGTGACGAGTGGAGTAGTGTAGTATGTGTCCCACCCGTCTTGCGCTGAAGCTAGGTAAAAGTAGATTGCATGTTGTCCGCCTCCCTGTGATGCCAAGCGCCGAGTAGAAATGGTATGAAATGAGTTACGCCGTGTGCGCTGTCATTTGACCACTAGCAAAAGATATGGAAGGTTCGTCACCTGCGCTCCCACGTAACGAGTGGAGTTGGCTACTAAGCCGTTTCGAGGCCCAAGGGCCTTTGCTATCGGGAACCATTCGGAACAGACGTGCGATAACGAGCCACTCCAGGCACGGCATCATTTCCATCGTTTCCGGTGCAGCTATGGCTGGCAATTCTGGCGGCTCTCCTAGCGACGGGCTCACCAACCGCTGGAACCCTGCCCGCCGTCAGCCGGGCCCTCCTCTCAAGCCGGGTCTTCAGAAGTACGGAAGCCGCTGGGGAGGTGCCCAGCAGGGGCGATGGTTTTGCGAGCAATGTGGCTGCAGAAGAAATATCGTGTCATGGACCTGGTGCAAATATTGTGAGGCGCTATGGACGCCATCATGTTCGCCTCATTCCCTTGATGGGCTTTCTCTTGAAGCAATTGATCAGGCCGCTGTTCTGTTCGAGACAGGAGGTGACACAGAAGGATGTGCCAAGTGTCGTGCAGTAGCGCAGGTGCGCCGACAGCCAGCTCCCTCACCTTCTCTCTAATTTCTGGTCAACGGTGCGCACAGCAACTTACGATTTGTGGAGAAGCGCCTCCTGGCAACCCTCAAAGTATGAAGAACAGGGCAAATCATTCTGTCGCCAACGTGAAGAAGCTGGAACACTTCGAGCAGAGCTGCAGCAGGCGGAGGACGATCATAAGAAGCGCATCGGTCAGCAGGCCACAGGGCACACTCCTCGCGGTGCTGTATTCTCTGCGCAGGTCATCCTCAATGGTGACATCGAGGACGTCATCTCCATCGACTTGGGTTCCCTCTCCATCGACGGGGTGAAATGTGAGATTTCGGCACGGGGTCGTGTGGAACTCGGCGAGCGTAGCAGGCAGTTGTCCGACTGGGTCAAGAAGCTCCTGCGCGGATCTCCCTTGGCGGGCCAGCGCTGAAGCACAGAAGGTTCGAGATGGACATAACCAAGTTTTGCTGCGCCTCGCAGCCAAACGTCGTCGTCCGGAAGTACCCGCAGGAGGAGCTGCTGGAAACGGAGGAGCCGCGGCGGTGCCCCCAGCAGGCGGAGCGGCCGCGGCGGCTGTCCCTCCTTCGGCTTCAGCTTCTGAGGCCCCAGGTCAGCCAGCCGAATCAGCCGAGCGGGGGCCCTCTTTTGAGGAGCTCAAGGCGCGCGCACATGCAGCCCTCGCAGCCTCTCCAAGTGGCTCCCCCCTGTACAGGCTTGAGTCCATCTGCAGGACGGCACCAGCACCGGTAACTTTCGCGAATCTCTGTTGGCCTGTCGGCCGTTTTTCCGTCGTTCCCTCCG